AAAAAAAATATTTTTTTTTGGTAAAATTATGATTATTAATTTATATGTACGAAAATTTATGCTCATTTTATTCATACATGAAAACTTATTAAATACTAAAGGATTCGGGAGTTCGTAATTGTTACGTAACGAACTATATTATCATGTGTATCTAAAAAATCCTATATTGAATGCATGGTAGATACCGATATAATTTCTTCCTTTTTCTATTTCTTAAAAAAAATAGATTTATAATTACTTGATAATAAATCTATTTATAAAAAAGAATTTCTTCTTTTATAATTTTTTTTTTTTTTGTGAATTAAAAATGTTGAGTCAATTTTTATAAATTATTTATGAATTGATGACATAGATAAATAATTATTTAATTCCAAATAATAATAAAATGTCAAAATAGAGATTATAAATGGTATAATGTTTAATCAATTGATTATTTTAACTATAAAAATGTGTGACACACTTGAGACAATGTATTGATTAAATTTTGGATGAAATCATATAAAGTGAGATATCTTTGATAAGATCTAAGTGGCCCCATTTTTTAAATGCTTTCACATCTCATTCATACATTTTTATAAATCCAAACATTAAATTCATATTGGGTCAGTACGAGAGTGTATGACCGTTCACCAAAATCGTGTCTACACCGGGATAAAATGCCTCAAAATGTACTATAGAAGAATATGACTAGTTGTCAACTTCTCCTTTCTCAAATAGTTATATATTGTTAAGTCGTTGTTGTTGCCTTTGCTTGCATGCTATATAACACCGTTTTCAATCTCTCACTAAATCTTGCTTTTAAACTCTCTTTCGAAAATCTCTCTACCCTGTTTTCTAAAACTTTATTCTTAAATCGGGGTCACAAATAGTTATATATTGTTAAGTCGCTGTTGTTGCCTTTGCTTGCATGCTATATAACACCGTTTTCAATCTCTCACTAAATCTTGCTTTCAAACTCTCTTTCGAAAATCTCTCTACTCTGTTTTCTAAAACTTTATTCTTAAATCGGGGTCAAAGGCTCGAGCATTCGTTGTCTGGCCGTAGGCAACACGCAAACGAAATGGCTTAACTCACTTGTTGCTAAGAAAAGTGGGTTGGTTGAGTCGGTGACCCGTTACTAACCCAAAACTCAATATTAAACATTCACAAGTTTCACCACAGTACTGACATCTGTTACAAACATCAAATATTTTTATTTATTTTTTAAATCTTAAAAGTAAATTACTGTTGGGTTATGAACCCTATTTTTAGGTTGGTCGGGTTAAAACCTCTAACCAACCCGTCAACTGGAAATTTCAATTTTTCAAAAAATAATGAAATAAAAAAAAATTAAAGAGATTTGGAATTATTTATTTGACATTGACATTTGTATAATTAAGTAAATGGAGGTAGGAAGGAGCTGTCTATTTCTTCATGATATCCAATACTTTCCTTTTCAAACTTACATCCCTTTCTAATTCAACTAATGTTCTTTACACTCTTTCATCTGTCAATTCATTCATTCTAAGTCAAACATGTTGATCATATTTATTATATGGCGGGATTGATGTACTCGATCATCAATTTCAAAAATACTATTTTTAAACCGGAATTCTAATCCTTAGTCGAGTACGTATTGTTAGGTCAAATCAAGAGCTCTTATTTTTTTTCTTTAGCGGAAATGAATCTAAAAGTTTCGAGAAAAACAGCTGCTTTTAAAGGAGTCACTCTTTCTTGATTACTATGGACATATACACTTTTTTAGCCTTTTGGTGGACTGCCTTATGTCATAGTCGTATTTCTTCAACTGTGTGACGTCGTGAGTTTGACACGCTCGTGACAAGTTTTGAGGGAGAACTCAAGTCTCATTCACATTTTTCGTCTGACTTTGTGGCTTTGTTGAACCTTAGATGATGTTTGTCGTTGCTAACAAACGTAACTTGTGCAGAATCTAAGCTTGTTTGGTCATACACGCCTCTCGTGCGTGCATGTTCAATTGTTTGTGATTCTAGTCGACTTGCCTCTACATTGGGCCAAGTCATCCAATTTGACCTTGTCTTTGATCTCGGCCAAGGTCTCTCGTAAACAACGTTGCATCTCATCGTCGTCTTAGTTCCCAACAATACGACCCATGCATCGTAATGTCATCCCATGTCTTGGGACAACTCGATTATCTTGGTTTGCTCGGACACATGTGTTCGAAACTGGCCAATGTGTTGATCATTTCAACGGGACATCCCGAACATCCATCCATCCATTTTGGTTCTTATCAGGCATTGGACTCTCCCGTATCCATACTAAACCACTTACGACATCAATTTCATATAGCAAGTGCATAATCTAACCTCTGACACATGGGCTGAACACAATACCAGCACACTCGTGTCATCTAATACTGTCCTTGAAAGACGCTTTCAAAAGAGGATGCCCGAGGTGCTAGTCCCGTGACATACCCTCACGCTGTGACACACATATGTGCCATAGGGTAGATCACTTAAGTCATAGGGCACATGGGTGGAGGAGAGCTGACATCATACCTCCCCTACAATACATTTTGAGGCATTCACAATTCTTTAATACGATGAACGGTGGAAAGATCTTCATGGAAGACCATTGATAAGCATAAACAAAGGGAAGAAGATTTCTTCGGATAACCTATCTCACTTAGTCGATCATAATTAGACAACCTATTTTTGTTTAACCTAAGAGAAGGGATCATATAACCTTTATAAATTCGACCAATCCAAGAGATCAATCCAAACCAACTCGAACTTTCTTTTAGACCAATCCAAAAGTTCGGGTTCGTTTGATGGTTAACCCCCCTCTATTTTCAAGTTAGGTTGCCGGGTTGTTCAAATTTTTAATTTTTTTTATTTATTTATCCACAATACATAATCATTTACTCGTACTAAAAGTTGATTTAGAAACTACAGCGACACAACTAAAAACATTAAACGTAATATATTTTTGCTTCAAAACAACTCAAATGTATACATAAATCATAACCATTGAACTTAACATAAACCATATTCTTAAAATTAAGACGAAATTTATGGATGGTTGTTCGATAATTTATTCCTATTATAATAATATTTTGAAAAATAGTATAAAGTATTGAGGTATAATTTTAATCCGAAACTAAACAAAATAATAAAATAATAGAAAAAAACGTGAACAAAATAATTACATAACATAAAAGATCGTAAGTACGAGACTTACATGCCTATTTGTAAATTTCGATTAAAGTCAACCTAATCCAACTCTTATAATTCAAGTTGGATCGATTCAAGCTTTCGGATGGTCGGGTAACAACCTGTTGTTAACCAAACTAAATAAAAAAAAATTGAAGAATTAGATTTATTTATAATTTAGAGATTAAAATATTTAATTGAAATTAAAATAATACAAATTTTGAAATCTGTTTTATTTATAGAGTATTAATTATAGCAGAATGGATGACCCATCTCTCAAAATAACAGGCCCATGGTTATCATGGACCGTCCGGCCCAATTGAAATTTGGATATTATCAGCCCATCATTGAAAAAACAATTAATTAATATTTTATTAAACATAAGTTTCTACACAAAAATTTAAGTATTTAATAAAAACAATATTTAAATAACCTTAATCATGCCTAGTTTAGTCACATGTATATCTAGGATAAAAAAAACGTTACACTTTGAGATAAGTTTTTTTCAATCTCGATCGTTAACAGAATTCTTCAATTAACTATTAATTATTAAGGGCCGATTAGATTTTTTTTTTTCTGAACAAAATACATTTTCTGGCCTCTAAGTTTTGAAATTTGCGTTTATTTAGCTATCGAGGCTATAGAAGAGAAACTTTTAGTCCCGTACATAGAGTCCTTGCTTTTTCCTAAAAAAATGTTAGACATAGGATCGGTATGTTTAAAAATACATAGTAATTAACTACGTTCTTGGAGTCAGAAAATGCAATCACATACGATATGTTTTGTGAGTGGTGGGACCTACTTTTTAGAGTTATTTTTTTTACACGGTTTTCTTTTTCGGTTAGGGTTAGATGCATAATACTTCTCACAAATGGTTCACGCATGCACACATGAATCCAATAGATGGGCTCGTATACATACCCTTAGATCTAACTATGGGCTAGCACACACTCACGCTGTCGAAAACCAATGAAAAAGAAAGGAAGAGTGTGTATAATATCATGGTGTATGTTATCCGTAACATGCTAAAGAAGTAATTTATGTCCATATGACATACAACATGCATGAAATCATGGTTTAGCGAAATGATACACATAATACTTTCATTCTTATCTTAACATGAACTTCCTATGAGACGATTATAAATATTAGGTGTTTAAATGACTTGAGAACCCGACCAACTCGAATTATCCAATGAAAACCTGAATTTTTTTTAGACTTGAATTGGATTGACATTTTTTTGGTTGGGTCAACCCTACCAACCCGAAAATAGGGTTACAACTCAAGCTATTATTACGAAAATTAAGAATATTTGATATTAGTAATCAATTATAGTGATACACTGTGACTTGTGAATGTTTGATATTTGAGTTTTGTGTGGTTTTATTTATTAAATGTAAATGTAAAGTGGACAAATGGTATTATATATATATATATAATTATAAATAAATAAAAAAAAGAAAACAACGACAATCCTGTTAGACGAACACGACTCTCCACAGTGGTATGATATTGTCCACTTTCAGCATAAGCTCTCATCCAACAAACCCGACCAGGTTGCTCGAGTCACCAACTCCAACCAAGCTGATATTTCGATTTTGTCCAAAAAATTTCTCCGACCTAACCGAACTTGTATACCCGCCTAATTTTTGTTCGGATCGAGCAATAAGAACATCCTAATTCAACATCATTGAAAACAAATATTTTAATGCATTTAATTGAATTTGAATCTTGTAGGGGAAAAAAAATTGGATATTTAATGTCATTGAATTTGAATCTTGATATTGAAAAATGGGTAGCTTTAGGGATACGGGATATACGTAGGATGAGCTGTGGACCCCGGCGAAGGACGTTCATCTAATTAAATATGCTTTGGATTCACATCTTTTCGGATGATGAAATTGGAAACGGAATCTGCGTACCGACAGGTTATGATACTTCGATTTGCAGTCACTCTTATCTAAAATTTCTTTGCATAATCAGATCGAATCATCAGATGTGATCCGCCGGTGATCAAAATTGTTCCGTTTCGACTCTGATTTCTTCGCTTTAATCTTTTCTCTTCATTCTGTTTCTGAGGATTTCGTTTCGTTTCCACTGCTGAATCTTTGATTTGCCTGTTTCGTTTTTGCGGCATACAGAAATGATTCGTGCATTTGCTGAACTTGTTTGTTTCTTTTTTTTCTTTAGATGAATACGTTATAATGATTCTATTGCGTAGGCCTGAAATCCATTTTCGGAAAAAATTGTTTTCTTTTGGTGTCTCTGTTCTCTTAATTGCGCCCTCCATTCCCGTTTCTTTAGGCTTCAATCCCTAATATCTAAGGGGAGAATGAGTAATTTATCAGCGGATTTCAGGAGGCATGAATCAGGTATGCATACTGAAGCCTGTGTGGGTGCGTTTAGAAAGCAGATTTGTGCATGCATGTTTCAGGAACTTTATGGCTTGAACTTCCTTGTGCAGCTAAAAGTAGATTGAAAGATTTATTGCTTCAGAAAGATAATCAAGCTTGTGCGGATTGTGGTGCCCCAGATCCTAAATGGGCGTAAGTTTCTAGAATTTCATACTTAAAGAATTAGGAGGATCTTTTTTATTGTGATTAAAAGATAATCAAATTTGTGCAGATTGTGATGAATTTGCTTCTATGTATTTATTTCCTATTTGTATGAACATCTGAGGAAGTATGATGTATGTCACTGCCTTTGCAGCTCTGCAAATATTGGTGTGTTTATATGCTTAAAATGTAGTGGCGTGCACAGAAGCCTTGGAACACACATATCAAAGGTATTGCTCACCTTTCCGATGACAAAGATTATGGTTTGCATCTATTTTTACTTTGCATATGTCACTGGTTAAGTATCATAACTACTTTTGAGTTTTCCATGTTGTATTACTAGAAGTGCTTTACTAATTTAGTTGGCTCTGAGGCATTCTTATGTGTTCTCTAATTATGCTAAAAGTTCGTCGTTGTACTAAAAAAATAAATTTGATTTACGAAAGGGAAAAGAAACTGGTGTCATGTATTCTTGCAGCATATATGGTGCCAAACATGGCACATCGTTTTTGCAATTGGTTGCTTTTTCACAAATCAGTTGGTCAATGATGTACTTGTTTGGATATTTGATACTTAAAAAAGAAAGGGAAAATTAGAGGGTTTTACTTCCTTCTTGTATTAGAAAACTTTGTTTCTGCGTTGTGATGGCTAAAGAAAAGTTGTAGTTCTGAGGACATTATTGGTTTTGGTTCAGGTTTTGTCAATAACATTGGATGAATGGTCTGATGATGAGATTGATGCAATGATAGAGGTTGGAGGAAATGGTTCTGCTAATGCAATATATGAGGCCTTTATCCCTGTTGGATATACGAAACCTGGACCAAGTGCCAGCCATGAGGATCGCTCAAGGTTCATTCGGTAAGACCCTGACTAGCACTTATTTAGCCTGGAATTGAATGCTTTACATCCACCCTAAGGTAGTGGTCACATTTACATTTTTGGTCACTGAGAAGCTTTCGTGTATTTGTGAATCAAAATTGATAACTAGTAACTGGTCTGTTGTTTCTATGGCCATTTCAGCCATACATTATAACCTCTATGAAATTTTGCTCATCTTAAACTATTTGTGCTTATTTAAGATGCCATTTTCTTTATCATCAGTAGCAATAAATGTTAAGAAAATTCGGGTCTTGGATGGATAACGAACTCTGTTTTTAATCTCTTTAAAGCAGTAATCTAATAATAAATATCTCACGTAGGTCTAAGTATGAACTTCAAGAATTTTTAAAACCGAGCTTGCGAATTGTATCCAATAACTCCTCAAAGGAACCTGAGGAGCCAAGTTATTTTGAAGAGATTGTTGATAGCTTTCGAAGCTCAAATTCTTCAAAGAAATCAGTAAGTTCAATTGTGTCTTGTATATTACTACATGATTGAATGTTTGAAGCTGTTTCAACCTTAGCAGGGTTATCGATTTTGAATAATATGTTAGTTAAAATACTCCATGCTCACTGCAAAACATTCTGCTTGAAAACATTATTGATTATTCAAAATCTGGATATGATTTCTAGTTGGGGACTCTTCTAATAGACGTAAACTGATTAACTCTCAACTCTTTCTGCTTTTGAGATTAGCCACAAGAAGGCATGGTTGAATTTATGGGATTACTGAAAGTCAAGGTGATTAAAGGCACAAACTTAGCCGTGAGAGATATGAAGTCCAGTGATCCTTTCATTACCTTGACTCTTGGGCAACAGGTCAGTCGTAACTCTCATATTTTCGAAGTTGCATGCTCGTACATTTTCTTCATCGGATTTTTGCAAAGTAAAGGAAGCTGTGAAAATAGTAAGCCTTTCAAGTTTGCGTATACTGAACCTGTTAACATGCTCAAAGATAGAATGTGGATTGGATTTTGGCAAAGTGAAGGAAGTAATGAAAATAGTAAACTTGTTGATATTGAAACTGATAATGACAATTGTTTTTGATGCTGATAGACTGCTAAAACAACAGTGATAAAGAGCAACTTGAATCCAGTTTGGAACGAGGAACTCATGTTGTCGGTTCCTCAGGAATACGGACCCTTGAAGTTGGTAAGTTTTTGCAGATTGTTACTGGTAGTTGCACAATCTAATAGAGGATCCAATTTTAGATCTCGCTTTTATATAGTATTTTAGAAGTGTTATGCATTTGATTCAACCTACTGAATATGTGCAATGAATTTGAGCCTTATTTTGTGAAGAAATAAGTGTATACTCATTTTTATTCCTTCACTTAATGGTGCATTACAGCAAGTGTTCGATCACGACATAATTTCAGCAAACGACTTAATGGGCGAAGCAGAAATCGACCTCCAACCGATGATAACATCAGCAATGGCATTTGGAGATGCTAAAATGTTTGAGAATATGCAGATAGGAAAATGGTTGAAGTCAGACGACAATGCCCTGATCGACGACAGTGCTGTCGTCATCGTCGACGGGATGGTCAAACAAGAGATGTCACTCAAGCTCCAAAACGTAGAATCAGGTGAAGTGTACTTAGAACTCGAGTGGATGCCTCTTGATCAGTAGTCACATAATATTGGAACATGAATCTGGTTTTCATTCTGTTCAATTGATAAGAACTCCAAATACCCTGTTGTCCATATGTAATAGTATGGCCTAAGTTTCTACTTTGCTACTAAAAAGGGGTTATTGATAATGAAATGTTGTAAAATTCGAACCTTGTCTGCATGTATGATCAAACTAGGAAGCTTTTGTATGGTTTTGTTTGATAAACGTGTTGATTTGCGTCATGTTCGAACATTTTGCATCGAAAATATTTCAAGTTAGTTTCAGTCGACTCTGTGGCTTACTCTTTTGAACTTTTCCTTTATAGGAAAAACAAACAAAAATAGGTAAAAATGGAGACGTTGATCACAATTATAATGGCATGAAGATTGAGGATTTAAATAAAGATTTATTATTATTATTATTAAAATAAGTTATTTTTTAAGATCAATTTCATGCTATATTTAATGTTTGACTCATAATTAAAACAACAAAAGCGAAATTTAAAAATAAAAAAAAAATGCTGCTAATATATATATTTTGTTAAATTATAAATTCAAGGACCAAATTGCAGCAATTATGGAGATGGAGACAATTATGGAAATTGGAATCTTCAATCTAATCTTCATGTCAACTAAGTACGTGTAATTTAAATTTTATAACTTCTAAATAATACCTTGTTAAAAATTTAGTTAAATATTTATACAAATAAATGAAATAATCTATCTATTAAGGTTATTAGAACTAAAAATATAAAATAAAAGTTTAGTCTTCAAATTAAAAAAAAAAATTGATGTCTTTGAATTTATATATAATAAATTTCTAAATTTTTTAATTTTATATCTCTTTTAAATTAAAAAAATAAAAGTTTAGAAGTTTTATTATTATGAAATCAAATTTTATTAAAATTTTAAATCCATTTGAAATCTATTAAATATAAAATTAAAATTTGAAAACCTAGTTTATTAGATATAAAATTAAAATTAAAAATTTAATTAATTAACTAGCTCAACCGGAAATAATGGTAGCTCACATTATCATTAATAAATACATCTAATTATTTTAGGCGTAGCCAACAAAAGTTCACTTGAATCGAGGAGCAACCTGCCCCTTGTCTCTCTCTGCCATACCTCAAATGAAAGCTCAAATTTCAAAGACTGAAGAATATGATCTGATGGCGAAAAGAGAGAGATGAAATGAAAGCTCAAATTTCTAAGACTGAAGAATATGATATGATGTCGAAAAGAGAGAGAGAGAGATGGATACTGTTCTCTCGCTTTCTTTGTCTTACTTCTTGTGAACACTACAAAATCTACTGCTCTCTGATGGTTTTTTTTTTTTTCCTCGAATCAAATTACTTAAATACTCAATATCTCAATAAATGGAATCCATAAATCATCCACAGTTCAACAAAATAAATTGAATACGAATTTGAAATTAGCAATAATCTGATATCGAATTCGAAGATCTGTCTAAAATTACACTAACACAGGAACTCTCAACCCAAACATATCAGAGCAAAAATGAAAGGAACAAAAAATAAGATCAGCGACCAGATCTCAGAGCTATGTACATGCAAATTCGTCTTCAAATCACTTGTTAGCAATAATGTTAGTAGTTTCAGAGACAGAGAGCGAGGACGACGATCTATTCTGTTTCCTGAACTTGAAGACGTAAATAAAAGCAGAAGCAATCAGCAAAGAAACGCCTATAACTCCACATACCAGACTCGCCACAAGCAATGCGCCGCGAATGTGGTCTCCGCCGCCTCCATCGGCAGCGGCTCCAGAGCGATCACGGTGGCTACGATTCCACCACTGCGACGGCAGGCTAGTGTTCATCGCCTTCGGAAGCGCGACATCGGAAGAAGACCAGGAGTTTCCTTTGAAGAAGGATTGCATATCCGGCGAGGAGTTTTCAATAGCGCCAGGGTTTTGGTACTCCAAGCCGTGCTCCGATGGACGCAAGTCCCTAGCATTTGAGCCTCCGGCAAGAAAAATGACGGCGACCGAGCAATAGATAGCGGCGACTGCAGCAATCCGCGAGGAAATCACCATTTTATGGTATGTGGTGGTGTTGCAATTGATTTTATCCGAGAGAGTGAGGAAAGCGGAGCAATGGCGCCGCTGGTTTTATACGGAAGAGCAAAGCGAAACGACGTCGGATTGAACGAATAGCTTTTCCCTTTGTCGACTTGTGTTGGAGATAGCGGAAATTGTGGCCGAGAAACGGCTTCTGCAGAAAGACGACCGCGGTAAAAATAACTAAACCACGGTTAAAACTTAACTTATCCTATTTTAATTAAATTATTTTTTAAATCTTAAAATTAATCCATGCTCTTAGTTTATTATTAAAAATAATTTCTAATAAAAAAGAAAAGTGGTGTTAACAATTTTCACCAAAGAAAAAAATAAAGTCACTACCGTGGTTACCGTTGGATGAAAGTGTGTCATCGGTTAATTTAGAGAATAGTCATGGGTTAATCGTACCAGTATATACGAGGTCTTTTGGGGAAGCTCAAAATAAAGCCGTGAGAGCTTATGCTCAAAGTGGACAGTATTATACAATTTTTGAGAGTCGTGTTCGTCTAACATAGTATCAGAGTCATGCCTTGAACTTAGTTGTGCCAATAGATTAGTAAATCTTTAAATGTTGAACGAAATATTGTAGAGCCTCGGTTAATTTAGGGAATGGTCATGAGTTTATAATCAAATAATACAGGTAGACAATATCATACAATTGTAGAAGTTGTGTTTGTCTAACAGTTATAAAAGACTATTTTAGAATTTAGAGAAAAATGAAAAGTAATTAATATTTTTATAAATAATAATAAATAAAAAATAAAAAAAGAGGAAAGCCGCCGCTGGATTCGTTGTCTGGAATTGGGCCGTAAAAAAGAGGCTCGTGAAGACGACTGTAGCTCCGTGATTAGGGCTGAACCTTTTTTTGCAATTAAATAAAATTTAAAATTAAAATCAATAATTACGGAAACCCATAATTACCCTTCTATTTTGGCCCCACCATAATTTCTCTCTTTTTTTTTTCTTTTTTTTTTCTTGTAGAATTTTCTATTTACTCCTTCTACTTTTAATAAATTAATATTGTAAAATTTAATTTTTATTTTATTTTCGCAAGTTTTAAAATGAATTTAACTTTTAATTGATTTTTAAATAGTTTTGGATCGTCTCAATTAACCTAAAAGAATGATGATGTCGATAATTGATATGTATTTATATTTTGTGGGATTTTTTTTTTCTTTTTATACTCGGACGAGACGACTTCAAAAACCTATTTTGAACTTTAGAGATCAAGTAGGTATCAAATTCAAACTCCAACGTCCAAAAATGTCCGTTTTTTATTTCGTCCCATAATTTTAAAAAATTTTACTTGCATTTTTAAACGTCCTCGTTTTTTATTTTAATTTTGAGATCAATAATATTTAAGGCCGAGAAGTTGCACCTCGAACTAAAGTTAATATTAAAATATTTTAACGGGTCGAACTATAGTCTTATTTTATTTATAATTATAAATAAAATAATTATAGAAATCTAAACCTTTTGAATACAAGGACCGGTACATCGTGGAAATGCTTTTTAATAGAATTTTAGCTTTAGTTGATCGTGACCAAGAAATCACTGTTTCACTTAGTGGGTCGGAATGCCGGACAATTCAATTTATCGTGTCAATTATCTGTGAATGATGCTCGTTGAAGTCATTTTTGACAAATATCTCAGTAAGAAATTAATAATTGAATGATATGTCCTTTTGCTCATAGGTAATTGTAATTCAATTATAGATTTGGTACTATACATCCTTTTTCTTCTTTTAATTTGGGCCCTCAATTTATTTTTGTGTGAAAAAAAAAATAATGCTAGTTCTACTTTAGGGTGCAATTATAAAGATTTAATTATAAACCTGAAATAAAAAATAAAATAAATCAATATATTTTGAAAATATCTATTTTAATTTGAATATTTTGAAAAAAAAATATTCTCGATCATTGTCGCTATTATAGTTTTAACGAATTGACGAGATATAAGTAATATGGTGACGATAAATAGGAAAATATTTGCATACTTGTTGGTTAAGCAAGAACTTCCACCATCATTAAATGGTTGACAAGTGAGAGAATAATGTAAAAAGAGAGGAAGTAGATATTATTATTTTTTTAAAAAAATAATAATAAGTGTCAAATTTCTAGTGGGGTTAGAAGGAAAATTTAGGAAAATATTAATTTAATTGGTAGATAATTATTAAAAAAAAAATATCATTAACTAGAACTAAAAAAATCATTAATTTTAAGACTAAAGATAAAAAATAAATAAATATCTTAAGAGTTATTAATTAATTAGGCATGTTTACACAATATTTTGTATTTTCTCACCGTTTTTTTTTAACTATAAAATATATGTGAATTCTTAATGAAATTCAAACAAAATAATATTAAATTATTTGTTTTAGCTTTTAAAAAAACTTTTATTTTGAATATATCTTTAGAAAGTAGATAAAAGGAAACGAAAAAACTATTCATTATCTAATCGGGTGAAGAATGTATCAATTATAAGTTCAAACTCATAATCATATTTATTTGAACCATAAATTTTGACACGTGACTTATTTTACTCTTTTTTTTTTTTTTTATGATTTATAACTATTTTCACTTTAATTTTATAAATATATCTATTTTTTCCATAACTCCACTAAAATATTAAAGAAAAAATTATGGTGGCCCAAATTTAATAAACTAAAAAAACTATTATTGCTATATATTTTTTTTCTCTAATTTACCTTAATTATTAATTTTTTAAAAAGTTTTATATTTACGGGTTAATTTACGAAAGTATTAATATAATTATTAGTTTGAGATTTTAATGGGTATAAATTGATTTTTTTAATTTTTTAATATATTTTTTAAAGATATATTTAAAATCAGTCGGCTTTTTTTTTCAATTTTATTTTAAAAAATTAAACGAATAAATACTATTTTTAAAATCCAAATAGATTATTTTATTACAAAAATAATTATGGAAATATTATTTTCAACCTTAATTTTTTTTAAAAATAATAATAATAATAATAACCAACATACATATCATAAATAATTATGAACCCAAGTTGTTAATAATTACTCACTTTTTCTGAACTGTAAAAAAGGTTGAATATAAGGACATTGAGCTGACCACAATAGTCGACAAGTCGATAAGAGAAGAGATGTAAAAGTAACGCGTTCCTCTATTTGCCGACAGATCGAATTCCCTTTTCTTTAGAATGAAGGCAACCTTGTTGGTCTTTAGCTTTTGAAAGAAACCAAATCCAAAACACTATTTTCCCTTCAATCATTATTACAGCTATTTATGAATAGCTGCTATTGGTATCTCCCTTTTTTTTTTTTTCTTTATATTTTTCAAATACCTAATTTTTTCGAGTTTGAAAATTGATCTTCGAGTCCCTACCGAAATGTTTGGTTTAATGTAGTTTTATTGCTATTCTCTTAAGTTTCGATAAATTTATTGGTTCCACTGAAAGATAGGGAGTTCATTCGAGTTTAAGATCAAAATTATAACACTTGTTTTAAGTTACTTTTTTTAGGGTCTCGCTCCTAGAGTTCAAGAGTATACACTCTCCTATCATATGGTTCCGTCCCTAGCATCAAAACTAGCTTCTTTCTTCAAGTAAGGAGGTCTCTCCAACTTGTAGTTTGTTGCTATCACCTATACAAATGAAAAGAAGAGGGGCTTTCCATTCGTGAGATCTGATCTCATCAAATTTCACCCCAGTCGTTCGAAAGGGAAGGAAGGGATGGGTGATCCGAGAACAACAATAGGAGAGGGCTACTAGCCTATTCTTCCCGCCTTAAAGTAATACAGAACTCTTTTTTTAGTTTTTATTTATAAACAAAAAGATGAATAGATAGAACCATGATAGATTTCGACACACCGTAAAGAATTAGACTCCCGTAAAAACCGATACTACTTGAAAAAGGGCAAATTTCTTTTTTCTTCAAGTGAATGGTACCCTAATTTATGAGATGAAGAGGGACTTCCTATCCGAGGGATCTGATCTCATCAGACTTCACTAAGCCATGTGAAGGGGAAGGCAAGGATGGGCTATTCGAGAGATCAGATCTCATCAGACTTCACTAAGCCATGTGAAGGGGAAGGCAAGGATGGGTGATCCGAGAACGGCAATGACCACCCCCCTCTTAACGCCTAGTTGTTCTTTGAGCTCCGGCCTTAAAAATGAATCAATAGGGTAATATTGAGTAAGAATTATATTACTTGAAAAGGGTAAATTTCTTTTTCCCTTAAGTGAATGCATGACGAGAGACTACATGTAAGAGTATCCACATATCTCTCTCTCTCTCTCTCTAAGATTTGATTACATTTCAAGTTGCAAGGGTCATGAGTGATCTGTTGAAGAAAAAGGGCTAAGAATTGAAAGGAGAGAGAGGCAAGAGTAGCAAAGAATCAATTTCACTAGTAAAAGATCAAGAAACCAAACAAAGATTTGAAGGTTAAGGATCATATTGTACTGTACATTACCCAGATGAGGCGAGACACACAGCAGATAAATTCATGATTCAGTACCAATCCTCCAGTGTATTGATCCTCTGGTCCATTGTCAGCCCTTCATTTAATTTAAGAAAAAATCCAGAACCCATAAGATTTAATAAGAAAATAACAGACACATAAGCCAGTGATCTCAGAAGGATTTTGAACTCATTGTTTTGGACAAATCAATAGCCTTCGGAAAATTACATTACCTTTGTGCTGTTTAACTTTGGTTGCTTAGTTTCCAAATCCATCGCTAGTAGATATTGTTCGCGTCGATCCGTTGGGTATCGTCGTCAGCCTCACAATTTTAAAACGCGTTTACTAAAGAGAAGTTTGCATACACTTAGAAGGAATGTTTCGTTCTCCGTTACAACAGGATGTGGGATATCACAATCCACCTACTTTGGGAGCCAGCGTCCGGCGTCTAGCTCTAATACAATTTGTAACGACCCAAACCCACCGCTAGTAGATAATGTCCGTTTCAGTCCGTTACCTATCGCTGTCAGCCTCACGGTTTTAAAACGCGTCTACTAGAGAGAGGTTTCCACACCCTTATAAAGAATAGTTCGTTCTCCTCTTTAACCGAGGTGGGATATAACTTCTGCCATACAAGACTTGGTTGATAACAAACTACAACTAGAGGCTCCGGGGCTTCCGGCAAATCAACAAATCTGGTTGTAACATCAGTTTGATCAGGTAGAATTGAACAAGCAGAGCCTTCGCGTTGAAATTCTGCCTGCTTTCTATTCAATCAACCATTTATAAATGCAACTCAAGAACAGTGAGAAAGCTTCATCTGTCTCAATGAAATGGCATCAACATCTTCACTGATGGATATCTCAATCTGCCTAAAGACAAGGTTAACTTACTTGAATCTTTTAGCAGAAACCAACCATACGTTCACACGACAGGAATCAAATTTGCTTCTCCACATCTCTCCTAAACTCAACCACATGATATCTAATTTCATTTGCAAGTGGCTCTCTGTACAATGGTACTTTATTTGTAAAGTCAGTATACAAAAATTCATATTCATGTAGGAACATCCAGCAAGTTGAGTATCCCAGGCAGCGATGATCAGACACTACCCAGACACGCAGAAAGCATCTCGTGCTTTCATATTCTGCGTTTAAAGTAGAAAAACGTCATATCTGGCAGGTGGATCTACTTCTATCTGTTCTTGATGAGGCTGATTGTCTACAAATTTATTTAAATTACAGACAGTACTGTAACGGGAAGGTAGACTTTCGTACTCCATATCAGTTGGTACTATATTTTTACTTTGTCGGAAGGAATTGCTACCTACAATCTCTTCAACAGAATTTAGAGGAGGTGGTGATATGTAGATCGATGCCGTATTGATATCCACCTGGAGGAAGTCTCCAGTTCATGTGAAATGTAGGTTTCAGAAAAAGGAATTGAGGTTACGAGAGTAAGTGGAGTTGGGCGGGCTACTCTGCAGGGCCTTATTCATGTCTCGAGGAGTACGTTAGTCTTTCAACTGAGGGACAAGTCAGTGTACTTTAGACTTTAGGAAGCTGATGAGTACCCGATCTACAAGGGAATTCTTTCCCAGGAGTTTTACCACCCACACGGTTTCCAGTCACAGTTAAATCAACGAGCTCACTACTAGCATTATCAGTAATATTATTAGAAGCTTCCTGACCAGAGGCAGAGTCAATCTCGTGCTGATTCGACTCGGACTTGTCCCTAAGTACATCATCCCTCAGAAATTGTGTGTCCTCAGTAGATCTCTCCCTATCAGTTCGACCTTCCAGGGTTTTTATCATATGGTCCCGGAAAGAACTCCTAGACTCTAGGTTGCTTTCCATACGGATTAGTGCATTCAACTTCTTCTGGACAGACATTGCAAAGGATACAGCATGATCACGTACTAAAGAATCATGAGGTGGACAACGCAGAATGTCAATCAAGGCCTTCTGGTACTGCAATAAGCTCACTGATGGTCTTGTAGTCCCTTTTTTACGGCATATGTTAATAACTTTGCACATATGCTCACATAGATTACCCATTTCAGCCCATCGACAATCACAAAGACCAAACTGCGAACCCGGATTCCAGACAACAAGTTTCTTGTCTCGAGTAATTTGGTCCGTAACTTTTGCAGTACTACCTTCAAGAATAACATCAGAGTCTGGGATTCTCAATGCTCTGCGCCAATATGTCAAACCACACATCCACTCATCTTTCCAATACCGAGAAAAACTATTCTTCTCTGAGTACTCATCAAGCCAAAAGTAAGAATGTACCTTTGTACTCAGCTTGTCGACCAACCAGTCCGTACGCTGATAAACAGCAATATCTTTCTCATTCAGCAATCTGAGCTTCAACTGGTTGTGGTAAAGCTCCATTGCAGCACATGTTTCGAGGCTGGTCAGTGGGAGGTTTTTCAGTGCAGTAGTCCACATCCCTAAGACCAAAAAGAAAATTCAGACGATGAGAATTCCAATGTGCTCCTAGCCACCATGGTCAAATTCACAATTTTCAAACTAACTCCTGCAATACATTTGTCTCTAGATCGATAATCGATACTTTCTTCAAATAGAAAAGAACGAAAAGAACAAAATCCATGTGCTTGAAATCGTGCTCATGAACAGTGCACTATGACTAAATTAAAATATAAGGGAACTGTGAAAATGCTCAAATTAATAATCAATTTGTGGTCGTCAAAAAGATCTTGAATGACAAAATTATGCAGATATCCAGCAAGAATGATAAATTGGAAGGAATCCTCTTTTTCTAAAAAAAAAAAAAGAAAAAAAAACTCGAGATTAGAGAACAGATGGATATAGACCTAGTCTCGGACACCAGGTTGCCTTAAAGTAGTCAATAAAATCTGGATCATCAATTTGATGTTTAATCAGCTGTTCAAATGAATCCACGTTTTCATCACCTTGGCAAACTCTGTCCACTGCTTGCCCAAGTTGTCTTAATATCTCAGCTTGCTTCTCAATTTCTGCACATTTCTTCAATATGTTTTTATGCCATGCATGGCGGACACGCCAAAAGCTTAATAAAACAGAACACTGAAATATCTCCCTGAACAAAATCAAGGGAATACTCTCAAACACCTGACGGTGACATACTTGAATGGAAATAGAAGCAATCTTAAATCCTTCATACTGAAAAGTAGTGAAACTTTCAATCATGTATAATAGCTTGATTTGCATTAATTAAAGCTTTCACACTCACCAATAAAAACAAATTGATCGAATTAATCAATTGAACCTAAAAACACTTTCGAGGTGCAGGAATTTGAACATAAAAATATTTAGAAGCCACTCCTATTGAGAATCATGAGAAAGATCAATTGCAGCTCTTTTAGTGGATTTATCAATGGTGTGCATTGTTTTATATCCATCAAACAGTTCAGAAAGAGAAGTCACCACATTCTTCTCATAAGTCATAAACAACAAAACTGTAACAACACAGTATGAATCTATAAGCATCTCTAACTAAGACAACAAGACAAAAGGAAGAAAAAATTTAGCCTAAATTTATAATCATTCTTGAACTATTAAGCAGGTTATCTTTTGATTCTATGAGGCCAGTGATTTTACGGATTTGGGACGAACTTTTCAGATTAGTCAAGTTCCGTTTACAAAAATATCCTTAATTTCTGAACAGGAGAAAGAAATAGAGCAACCTTATTGTTGGTACATCAGCAAGAGGATCATCCACAACAAAGCCAGCCAACTTCCATGACGGATCTTTTGTTTGAACTCTACTATGAAGAGCCCTCATCCACCTATGGGTATCCCCACTAGCAAATCTCGGTGATATAATCCAGGCTACTGGAATTGCGTTGTAGTCTAAATTGAATACTACCAGACTGTGAACTGGAAACTAGACAAAAATGCAGGAAATGCATAATTAGCCTCATCTGACATTGAAATTGGATCTTATAATTTAACAAGTTTGAAAGAACTAGGATACAAGAATTGACTGATATACCTTCAACTTGTTTGTTCCAAACCTGGAATCTGATGCAAGTAGGCCACGGTTGCCAAATCGTATCATTTGTTGCAATTGCCACTCCGTTTGAATTCCCAAAGTAAAGTTGTCTGTATCGGTAAAATCTTCATAAAAGAAAACATTGCTTCGATGGCCTTCAACCCACATGTTGATGCTTACCGCATCATCTTCATCAAGTTCATGAGTGGAACGCCTGATGCTTCTCTCCTGTCTTCTTACGTACCTATGGGTTAAAAGGTCATCACGGTTGCATGGACCACCCTGTTTCTCCACCAATTCATTATGTCTCTGCATAATGGTCTCCACAGAAACACCAACATATAGAAGCGACAATACACGTAGGCGAAGATCTTCAGAGATGTATGGTGCAAACATAGCACGAGTACCCTCAGCCTTCTTGTCTTGAGGACCATGGCATGGCAAGCCCGTCTTATCAACATGCTTATCTTCATTATATAAGATCAGTGCAATAGACGGTTCAGCCATTAAGCGTTTGACAATAAAGTGGCAGGTGCAACCCCTCTTAGTGTTTGGCCGCCCAGCATTTTTCTTCTTCGGTACATAAGTATTTCTACTGGGTCGTATGTCTCCCCCCATCCTATGGTCATCAGGACCAAACGAACACCAATACCTATATATTCATTAACATAACTAAACTTTTTAAATTTGAAGAAACAGCAAAAAGAGCTAGCTGAAAACATCCATACATATTATACATATCGGACTTACAAAATGTATTCCAACACACCATCAACCTTTGCCTTGAACGGTGCTTCCAATGCTCGACGTCGCCTTGTCTCAACATAAAATCTGGTTGGACATTCTTTATTTGAAGATTCACCATGAACAAAATCATCAACTCTAGCGAAAGGGATTACAGCAACTCTATCCATTTTGTTACGCCATCCTTCTACCTTTGACCACACAAGATCAGAAGATGAAAATTCCAAGGTTGGAGGATTCTGTACTGGAAGAGAAAAAATCTCGTCCCATCTGGCCATCTAAAAATGAGACAAAGAAATTGCATGAGTCAATAATTTAAGAAGCGGGACATGAAACACATGTTAAACGACCCACATTTATAAGAAACCAAAAACAAAGTCTCTCTCAGCACAACAAATCAACATAAAAAAAATCCAAATCAAGCAAGAAACCGTCGGCAGGCACAGAGATATACATTATCTAATAAACTTATCAACGCATTGCAATATCGCAAACAAATTACCAAAATCCAAATGTCAAAAAAAATGAACATAATCCTGTATCCCTCTCTTCTTGTTAACTCTGCACTGGATATTACAACTTACCCATTTATACGAAAAACAATAAGAACGTCAGATTTTATTGAACAGGGGGAAGAATCATAAAGCAGAAACATCTGAGAACCCAGAATCCTTTATCATTTTCTTTAAAGATTAAAAAAAAAAAAAATCGAAGAGGGAAAGGAAGCTAATCTACAGAACAAAAAGAAGCACCACGGACTTCGCGTTATCTGCAGACCCGAATTTAACCGGCCTGTAAGCAAGCAGAGATAGAAGACAACTAAAATGAAGATTCTACGCAGACAAAAAGAAACAATCCAAATTTACAAAAGAAAAACAGTTCATCACTACAAAGGACCTACCACGCAACTAATTGCAATTAAACGAACTCAAAGTACAATGAATAGACCTCCGCAACTTGATGTGTATACCTCGTTGCACACTTCACCGGACGAATGAAACTCACCCTATGTAGCCATCCTTCCCACTCAATAGCCGTCGGCGAACGCAACTCACTGTTCTCCGACTACCGGAAAACCAAACAGGATTCCTGAAATAGTCGTGGAAATCGAGATTGATGTCGGATATAATCCGGGAGAATGATGTAGGCGAAGAGCTTAAAGCTTTGGTTCTCGGCGAGAGACGAAGGGAACAGAGAAGAAACAGCCACCGGAGGCGGTGAGGCTAGAGAAGGTCATCCAACCCAATGCCAATTATTAAAGAATAAAAATAAATAAATCATAAATCATAAGTTTAAGTCAAAAAAAAAAAAAAAAAAA